GGCAAATAGGGGGGGTGTGGGTAACCATATCAGCTTACACGTTTGTGTATAGAAGGGTAGAGTTTCGGTTTCGGGGTATGCAGGCTTTGGAGTCTCAGGTGGTTGTAAAGTGTCTGTTCGGGGACAGCAGGCTGAGGTACTCATGTGGTGTGTAGCGCGCACTAATCAAAGAAGTCATTTACAGGACAAGTAGTAAGATCAACTATGAGGTCGCTGTTCATTGTGGGATTACAGCCTGAGTCCATGATGATTGTTTGCATTGGCTGACTTTGGAGTTTCCCTTACCGGCGGCCATTCCACGGCGTTCTTTTTCAGCATTCCTGCTATACGTGTGAGGATGCGTCTCATTAAGCCCAAGCCCTAAGCCCCAATCCAATTCCAAGTTCCAGAACTCTCAATATGCCCCAAGCCCTGAAGCCCTAAACCCCAAAACCCTAGACTGTACATCTGTCGTCATGCAGAACAATGTTTGGAAAAGACGTCAGTTGCATGATGTCAAACATGTTGAAGGCAACATGCTTTCCTGATGTTGTGGGACCTCGTGAGCGGGTGGGTATTTTCCTATGCTTTACACAAATGCTCATGGAAAGAATGCTTGGACTCAAGATGCTGAGCCCTAAACCCTCACCCGGCATCCCGAACAGGTAATTCCCAAAAAATATCGGCCTTTTTGGGTGTTGCTTTACAAGAGCTATAGCATTTTGGCAGATACATACATGAATCTTGAGCCCCATGTGCACATCTGCTACATCTGCCAGGTGCTTTTTGAGGAGGTTTTGAAGCTATTGCAGCCGGATACGGATTCTGTCGGACTTCAGCTGCTCGGTGAAACGCTTATGAGGATTCAAAGCTTCCGAATCAGGTTTGGGTCCTGGAAAGAGTTTTCGATAGCTGGAGCATTAGATGCTGTGGGATCTTCTCAGCATGTCCTATATTTTTCTCATAAGCCCAAGCATATGCGAGAATGCCTGTGCAGAGGGCTCTGAGGCTCCAGGCCATACACCTTAAACCACAGGTTGTGTGCCCTAAATCCGAATTAAACCGGGGGCCACAGGCTGGGTTTTGCTTGTGGTTGTGCGGAGTTTCTTGGGTTCAAGCAGGGCAAGCTAATCGTACGTGCCCTAAGACTATCACATTGAAGTACTTAGGTTTTTGATTGGTTCCGTGTGTGGGGTTAAGAAGGTAATTGTTTGGGTGTTCAGGAAATATCTTGCCGAGATCTTCGAACCAGTTTTCAGATACTGGAGAAGCCCGAAGAATCAGAAAGGTCATTCCATCGCAACCGATAAACAGTCATAGTATAACCCTAGCCCACAACCAAAGCCATGTTCTCATTAAGTTCTACCCTGAACTCTCCTCAGACCTGCGACACAGCCTGTTCGGCATCATCGTTCTCTGAAATGACAGCCATAAGCGAAATACCTTTAGGGGCTTCCTTGTTGACGTTCTAACACTTGAGTGTTCTTGTAATCCAGGGGACGAAAGCCAACACCGAAAGAAGACAGGCCTGTCAAATCAAGGCCCTAGACGAGGGGGGAGGCTTCTTGCTCAACTCAAGTTCTCACTTTTCTCCGCCTGAGGCTTGTTGGGTAGCCAGGAAACTAGCCAGAGATGCTACCGTAAATTGTTTAAGGTTTTTGGGGCTGGGGCTTTGGCAGCTTAGGGTTGAGGCAGCTTTTAATCCCGGGGGTCATGGGCTTGCATCACTGCGGTCAAAAAGAAAGTGAGTATAGTTGTAACGCACATATAACCTTTCTTGGGGTACTTTTTACCCGACTTAGAGCTGCCCCATTTGAAGTAGAATCCCAAGCCAGGTGCAAGGCTTCAAGATTCACTCGGGCTCTTGTCGCCCCAAAACCTACCCCCCGAACTAACATGGCAAACCGCCGTTCAACAGGACAGTAGTCGTTAAAGGATCCTTGGTGGGTTCCATGTGAGCTCGGAGCTGGTGCTTGAGGGAGAGTGGCGGAGTGGACCCCTACATAATTAATGCCGGAATAACGGTCCCTAGACTCCCCACACACACACACACACTGGAGACTAAGGAGCGTGCAGAAGGTGTTCAACAACTCGTCCTATCGGCACATCAAGTGCACGCAGATGGTGCGGCAGACCTCGTAGAGCCTGGACCCTTTCTTAGAACAGCTTTTCCGGGAAAGGTATTTACAGTGATGGTGTTTGCTTTGTTCATGTTGCAGCTATGTTGGAAATAAACTCCACGCCCCTAAATCCTAGACCTCGGTACCAGGAGCAGCTCAGGTGCTCATAGTTGCAGACCAGAACGCCCTGAGGGTCGCCATGCGGGCGCTCATCTATTACCCTGAGGGTCGCCATGCGGGGGCTCATCTACAAAACAGGATTAAGGGTATGGAGGGTTCAAGGGTTAAAAGGTATCTTGATATTTGAGGAGCACCGAAACATTGACAAAAAAAGATCAAGGACACGCCTTGACTTTTGGTTCTAGCAGGAGTAAAGACGAGAGGCATCCAAGCCGACAGACACAGCTACATCCTCACTTGTGCCCGCTTCTTGCCGGTTGTTGGCAGGGATGAAGGAATGAAAAATGGAATTGCGATATTGGTGAGCTAGGGTGTTCATTAGGGCCCAAAAGGCCAACCCCCGACCCCTAATGCAGAGCCGTACCAATGTCATTATCCTTCCAATATCGGCTCAAATTTGCTCAGTCAACGCAGATCCAGATTAGAGCTCGTTCTGCCAGAACACTAGAAAAGGGAGAACACATACTTTTTTGCATGCCAGCAACATGTGATCCAGCTTACTTGTGTGTTTCAACAAGTTCTTGAGGCAACCTGCAGACAAGGTTTCCATGTGGCCTCACTTCCGCGGCGTTTGCAGGTTCTGTATAGACAGTTCTCAAGATCGCTAACGTGAGAAATTGACAGACCGGGGTCCTCTTCATCTAATTTTGTTATTTGCTGGGCCAGGTGTCATTTACTTGGTGCTCAGTAGGACAAGAGGAATTGGATCCATAGCTGGTGCTAGCCCATGCACACCTTCCCTCCTAAGCAGCAGGGAGCCATTTGCGTCCGCACTTTGCCAGACAATACAGAGCTCAAGGCATTGAAGATTCAGAGCTAGAGGTTTACCTCCGCGAAATCTCGCAGCACCTGCAATCCGCAACTCATGTCAGTACCTAGCTATGGTGTATGTAATGGATGACGCAAGGCTGCCTGCATCTAAAATGGGATTTGTTTGTTTACACGTCTTGGACTTATGTTCTTCCCTACTCCAATTGCTGGCCCTTCTGCTGACATGTTCAAGAGCACTACTCGTTCCTGTTTGGATATTACTGCTGTTAAATGATTTTGAAGAACTTCTTTCGAGATTGACATCTGGCAGCCCCACCACAATGAGACCATAAGAAGGATCCTTAAATGAGCGCTCATGTTTTCGAGCGGCCAGCGCCGGCAGCCGAAATGTTCTTCAGCAACAGCATGGCCCGGGAGGGCAACGTGCAGATGACCAGGGACCAGGTTAGACCCTGAACTGGGCCTACATCCGACGGGATATGATTTTTTGCTTGTTTTGGGGCCCTAGGTGGAGAAGAAGAATTTGGCGTGCAGAATGGCGTGCTAGCGTTTGGAGTTCAGAATTCAGCTGCAGCGTTTCAGCCGTAGAGTCGCAGGTTGTAGTAGAAACTCGATGCACAATCGACTGTTTCGAAGCTACGACGGTCTTCCTGTTGGCTATCAGCTTCGCCGGTAGCATTGGATGTGTGCTTGGAACTTCTTTGGGCCTACTACGTTGGAGGCTGTTGCACATGTTGACAAGACTAGTTGCTGGATGTAAAGATTGCAAGGTGAAATGACCGCTAATCCTTAAATGTAAGCCCTAATGGCGCCATTCACAACACCCATTTCTCCAAAAAAAGACACAAAATGCAGATTTCGAGACTTTACTGTACGAAGAAAGAGGACGTAGGAAGCGTGTTGCGAGATTAAAGAAACATGAGAAATGGCATTAAGCACCCTAAAGCCAATACTCCCTACATCCACCCATCAGTAGTATAGCTCATGCCCGTATAGGGAATCTTGTCCCCTGTACCAGGCCCAACTAGTTTGGATAGAGTATTGGAAATATTTGGTGAGTCTCAATATGAAACTGGAAACCCTTGGTGCTCCGATGCCCTAATCCCAAAAACACACTCGACCACAAATCACATTATGCGACCTTTTCAAGACAGGGCCCCAAAAAATGCCCCCAAAACGAAAAGCCATCCTCGCTCCTAAGCCTTTCAACGAAGGACCAGCCCCCATTTTCAACCCCTTTCATGGATGCTAAAGCCTCACCTTTGAACCCCGAATCTTTGAGCCCAAGATCCGTAAATGTCCCGACCTGCACGCTTGCAGCGCGCTTTGTTGAACTTGTGCGTCATACACTTGAGGTTTAGAGTTCAAGGGCTGATCTCCAAAGACTAAGCTGGAAAACGATCCTTGTCTCGGTCTTTTCCCTGGGCCCTTTACACGCTGCGCGGTTTTGCCAGGCAATGGGTAAGGAGATCCCTGCCGAAAGCCAGGTAGTTTAAAGATGCATACACGTTTCGTCCTTGACAATGAGTTGGCGCTTACGGTTCGAGGGCCTTTCATCATGATCAATCCACAAGCTTCAACAAGAAAACACAGTAATCAGCATTGCTAGCCGCAGGAGGGGTACAGCGTGCTGAAGATGTGTCCACACTACATCATTTCTAGATTGCTCATGAGCTCTACAGCAATTGGAAGGTTCGCTGCTACTTGGGCCAAGGTCCAGTGTAGTGTAGGCTCCAGAAGGTAGCTAGCTTGAACTTCCATTGCCAAGAGACTTGGTTTGTGCAAAGGTATATGTGTGTTAGTTAACTATATAGGAACTGAGGCCAGAACTAGGTGCCCATGGTTTTACTTTAGACATAGAGAAAAATGTGATGAGGAGCTCCTGACAAGTTGCTGTGCTACCTTGCCTTCCCCCGCTTCAAACTTCAGTCTGCTTTGGGGTGTAATGCTTGAGGCGTACGATTTCTCAACTCGAGGGTAAAGACTCTTTCTGCAGTGCCTTTATGGAGATAGTGCTACATGCTGAGTAGGGAAACTATACAGAGTGATGTCCCCACAGCCTGCACTGTCCTCGTATTTGGCATTGCCATCCCAGCATCCAACAACTTCTGACAGTGCATTTTTAAGGGGATGGTTTTGGGGTGATAACATTGAACCCTCAGGATCTTCGGCATTTTGAAATCCTTGGTGTATCCTTTTTGAGCAACAATTGAGTTTGGAGACTTTGGGTGATGCCATTGCAACTGTCAATTATTGTCTGTTATCAAGTTTTTTACGGGCACATCACTGTGGTGCATGTTCTAGGCTTGCAGTCCGAAACCATTGTAAGCTTTGGCAAGCTTTGGGATTGAAGTGCAGAATTGAGACCTAGTTTTCCGAATTTCATGACATGGTCCCATCGATTCACTTTGGTTCGAACACAGGAAGACAACTCTAACTACAACTTTAGGGAATGGTTGAACTGTTTTGCAAGCTTTTCCAGTAGTGGTCCGACAAGTTTATGGCTATTGCTGCTTCAAAACCGGGGAAGCAAGATACCACTTGCCAAGTTTCACGCGATGATGGGAAGTGAGTCAGCAGTACTGATGCGGTGTTCTTTAGCCTGGATGGCTGGAAACCTTTGTGATAAACCAGAAAGCTTCACGTACGAAAACAGTTCCGGAAGACTTTAGGCCTGAATCCGCAAGCCCACAGAAGTAGTGATTTGCAACTTAACTCTACAGAATCCCTCGCAATCCTCTTGCAGTTGCCATATATACCAGGGTCCCTGAGGGACCGAGATTTTGCGAAACGGCCATACAATCTCCGAAACATCCTCCAATCCAGCTTTTCCTTAGAACGAGCGTCAGATCCGTTTTGGTGAATGCTTACTTCCCTTCTAGGACCACTAGTCATGGGTTCTCCTAGCCACTTCACACATAAGCAGATTTCACTGATCCTAATATATCTCATCAAGGGAGAAACTTAGTCGGGATGGGGGGGTGGTTAGGAAACCCATACCCATGAAGCATTTGAACAGTACAGCGCTTAGCGCTTTGCTCAACTTTAGGTGCTGCGGTGGAATTTCACAGCATGCGCCTGGCTATTTTGCCCAGGGCTGTGCGATGCTTGGGGTTTAAGATTTTGAACACGGATTCTTGAGCACCCTAGCTATACACATTTGGTTATGTCACCTTGGAACGCTCGGATAGAGTGCACCCGAAAAGGCAGCCTGTCTATGGGCACTTTGAGGCAGGTTTGGACCAAACGGCGACTGATGCCCTGAGCAACGCAAGTGACCTGTCACGTCAAAGGGCACGTTCTTGTCCGCGGCACGCATCCCGTCGTAGACGGGAGCCTTTACTCGTAGCTCAGGCCTGTGAAAAAGCGTGGGTTTGTGGTGCCTGGGTCTTTCAACGCTTAGGGTTTTTAAGCTGTTGGACTTTTTAGAGCCACTCTCAAAGCTATCGCCCCTTGCGCTTAACCCATGCTGTTGGAATGGGCCCGTACAGGGATCTTGATTCTCGGAGGGCGGCGCAACCCCGGATTTGAGCGTGCAGCTGTGTAGTAAGGGGTTTGCACATCTCCGCTGGCATAATACTTATCATCAATACTATTGTCATTCATCTTATCTTGTACATATTACTGTTGCTCTTTCTTATGACCAGTACTAGTAGTATCATTATTACCATGATAATTCTAATGACTATCTCAAATTTTGTTATCATGCTAATTGTACTGCTATATCATTATTATGAGGCTTCGTTGTGGAGACCCTACCTTTTGGGACTCTGAGCCCAACAGTCAAGCAAGAAGAGCATGGCGGGTTGGGCAACATAAAATTCCCTGCATCCACCCAGAAAATCTGTTGGACCCTATAGGGCTTAGGGTTTATGTAGCAAGCCGCTAGATCCCTCAAGAGCAATCCGGGGCTCCCATATCAGGAGAGCATGTGGGACTGAAGGGAGGTCTAGAGAGTTCAAAGAAATTACGTAGTTTTTGGGTTTCCCTTAAGGATGCCCTGAACCTGCCAATACCCTTCAAAGCCCATGGCCTTGAAGCCCAACATCCACCATAGACAAGCCTGAGCA